AGTCGTATTCAACACGCTGTTCCTCGTGTCCTTCTCTGTATCTTCTTCATAGGAAAGTATCCTTTGCTCGTCTTGCCTTGAGCTTCTCCAAGCCTGGCAGGGCTATGAACCAGGTGAGCTGGGGCTCTTGCCCACTCTGCAGTCCTCCTCTGGTCAGAATTGGGCTGGGGCTGTCACTAACACTGGCCTGTTGTCCATGATACGGATCTTGTCCTGCAGCTGTAAATTAACCAGTGCTGCTCCACAGGTGGCTGTGAGTCTGGGAGGATGAGTGTGCCTCAGATCTACTGAGCTGTGCTGGGGAAGAGCAGGATGCTGCTCTGGGCTGTCTTGGGGCAGTGGACTGAGCCCAAACCTACTAAGGGGCAGGGCACAGGCACAGGAAGCAGGAAGCCCGTCCATGCCCCCAGCCTGCAGGAAACACTGGCCCAGGAACCCCCGGGGAACCTGCTGTCTTCCCCCTCCCCGATGCCTATGCCTTCTCTCCTATATAATCCCCTCCTGCAGGGAGGGTGAGCCCTGTAAAGGGAGATTGGCTTGGGGCTTATGCCACACTTCACGGTTCTGGTCCTCAGACCCTGGCAAGAGCTGGGGGGAGCAGCCAAGACCCAGGACTGGCTGATATTTGCCAAAGGGCATGGATAGGACAGGAAGCGCAGGCCAGCATCTTTGATTTATGCTGCATCAGTATGGAATTTGGCCTGGGAACTTGCAGGGTGTCTGTGTAAAAAAGGCATGTCCAGTGGTCTGGGAGATTTCGTTATTTCTCAGCATTCACCCCTCTTTGGCAAGGCCTTCTTTTCTCTCTGTAGCCTCTCTCCACTGCCTGAGAGCCTTCCAGGCCCCTTCGCTGGGCTGGATGACAGGATAAAAAGCCACAGGGACCTGGGGTTGCTTCACAAACCCACCTCCTCTGGCCTTCTCTCCCACTAGGTGGTCCTGGAACCCATCCTCAGTGGAGTTCAAGTTAAGCTGGTCCTGGAGCGGGAGGGAGGAGCTCAGGGTTGATGCCTCATTAGCATATTCATCAACAGTAATCAGGGCCCCGCTGTGATCAAAAGCCCTCTTAGGGCTTCCCTGCCTCTTGCTGGCTGGGGAGCGGGTGAGGGGCGATCAAGGCCTCAACTGGAAAGGACTGCAGCCTGCGGGGGAGGTGGTGGAGGGAGCAGGGAAGGATGGAGGGACAGTGAATTCCCTAGGGAAAGGAGCATCTGTAAGAAGAACCTGTGATCAGAAAGAAAAGGTGTTCAGGCTGGGCACAGTGGCTCAAGCCTATAATCCCAGTACTTTGGGAGGCCAAGGCAGGAGGATCACTCGAGCCCCCAGGAGTTCAAGATCAGCCTGGGCAACATCTTGAGACCCGCCCCCCATCTCTCCAAAAAATTTTTTTAAATTAGCTGGGCGTAGTGGCTTATGCCTGTAGTCCCAGCTACTCAGAAGGCTGAAGTGGGAGGATCCAGTGAGCCTAGGAGGTTAAGGCTGCAGTGAGCTATAACTGTGCCATTACACTGCAGCCTGGGTGACAGAGCAATATTCTGTCTCCAAAAAAAAAACAGATATTGGAGGATTGGAGGTTCTCTCCCCTCATCCTGGTCAGGGGACAAGAAGACCTATGGCTTTTGCCTCCAAAGTCGGCATTTCGTGTGGACCCCTGAGGGAGGTTCCGGGGCAAGCTTTCAAGAGGAGGAACCATTTCCGTTTTATTATTTATTATCATCTGTATGTGTAAAACAATAGCAGGTCCCTCATGCCCATGACATCCCAGATGTTACGGCTTAGTGTGAAGCTGAGTAAAAGGATAAATTGATTTAAAGTTATACGAAGAAAAATCGTAAGTAGTGGTGACTGTGGCAGCCATTGTCACAGAAGCACGATCATGATGGGTGCCTGGACAAGCTGACCTAAGTGGCCCTCAAGGCAGTTCCCCATCCTCATCACTCCCCTGCATCCCTGCAGCAGCCCCTCACTTGTCCCCCACACTGCACCCTCCTTTCCCTCATAACATCTCTAAGCCCTGCCTGGCTCCAGCTCTTTCTAGTGGCCTTTAGTCACATTTCCCAAACCATGACCCTCAATGAAAGTGCTCCATAGTCCAGCAAGCAGGATGTGTTAGTTACCCAGCCATGGTGGTTGACACCTGTAATCACAGCCCTTTGGGAGGCCAAGATGTGAGAATAGCTGGAGCCCAGGAGTTTGAGACCAGCCTGGGCAACATATGGAGACTTCATCTCTACAAAAAGTAAACAAAATTATCCAGGCATGGTGGTCTGTGCCTGAAGACCTAGATAGTCAGGAGGCTAAGATGGGAGGATTGCCTAAGCCCCAGAGGTTGAGGCTACAGTGAACTGAGATCATGCCACTGCACTCCAGCCTGGACAACAGAGCAAGACCCTGCCTCAAAAAAAAAAAAAAAAAATTACTCCAAGCTGGGCATGGTGGCTCACACCTGTAATCCCAGCTCTTTGGGAAGCTGAGGTGGGAGGATCGCTTAAATCTAGGAGTTCAAGGTTGCGGTGAGCTATGATCACGCCCCTGCACTCCAGCCTGGATGACAGAGCAAAACCCTGTCTCAAAAAAAATTATTCTGGGTTGGGCATCGTGGCCCATGCCTGTAATCACAGCACTTTGGGAGGCCAAGGCAGGAGGATCATTTGAGCCCAGGAGTTCAATACCAGCCTGAACAACATGGGGAAACCTGTCTCTACAAAATACTAAAAAAAAATTTAGCCAGGTTTGGGGACATGCACCTATAGTCCCACCTACTTGGGAGACTGAGGCAGGAGGTTCATTTGAGCCCAGTAGGTTGAAACTGCAGTGAGCTGTGATTGCACCACTGCACTCCCGCCTGGGTAACAAAGTGAGATCCTGCCCTGAAGACAAAAAACAGGGGACAGATCTTGAGCCCAAGTCTCTCTGTATTTAAATTTGTATCTTAAAAAAAAAGGGAAACTCCAAAACTTAGCAACTTAAAATGACAAATATTTATTATCTCACATAATTTCTGAGTGTCAAAAATAAGGGAGCAGACTAGTCTGGTGGTTGTGGATCAGAGCTTCTCATGAGGCTGCAGCAAGATGAGAGCTGGGGCCACAGTCATATGACGATTGTCTGAGGCGGGTGGATCTGCTTCCAAGGTCACTTACGCTGGCAAGTCAAGGCTGGCTATCGGCAGGTGGCCTCAGTTCTTCTCCCTGTGGACCCTCCATAGGGCCGCTTGAGGGTCCTCAAGACATGGCAGCTGGCTTCCCCCTGAATCACTGATCCAAAAGACAGAACAAGGCAAAAGCTGCAGTGCTTTTATGATCTAACCTTGGAAGTTAGATGCTATTATCCCTGCCATAGTCTACTGGCCTCACAGGCCAATCCCAACACAATACACAAGAGGGGGGTAACTAAGGGCATGAATCCCAGGTGGTGGGGATCACTGGGAACCATCCTGTAGGCTGGATCCACACATGCAGAGCACCAGCCCTGGCAAACTCAAGCAGGTCCATTCCTGGAGGGTGTCCCAGGGTCCCAAATATACCCACGTTTGTGGCCACAGCACCCTTTTCTCAAGGGAGGCTCTGGAGCAGGCGTCCGCAAACTACGCCTGGCCTGCAGGCTGCATGCGGCCCCCTGAGGCCATTTATCCAGCCCCCCCCGCCCCACTTCAGGAAGGGGCATCTCTTTCATTGGTGGTCAGTGAGAGGAGCACAGTATGTGGCAGCCCTCCAACGGTCTGAGGGACAGTGAACTGGCCCCCTGTGTAAAAAGTTTGGGGACGCCTGCTCTGGCGTCATGAGAGACCCAAGGAACACATGGAAGACCGTGGCTCAGAGAAGAGTCTAACTCCTTCCCCTGGTGTTTGTGTCCCTGCATGATCTGGCACAAACTTCCAGTAGGAACTTTCCTCCTTTCACGTCACTTTTCGACATCTGCGGTACTGCAGCAGCCGCTGCACACCCAGCCATTCCTTACGATGCTCATTCTGCCCTTTTCCTCGTTCACCTGTTGAGCTCCTGTTTATTCCTCAAGGACTTGGGGAAAAGCCACCATTCCATGAAGCCTTCCCCTCAACTCCCACAAAAAGAATTAATTTTTTCTTCCTTTGCTTCTCAAGGTTTTTGCATGGTGACATCTTTCTGGGGGCACCTGCCCCTTTGCCTGATGTCACAGCTCTCTGTGTGTCTTCTCTTCTCCCAGGCATTTGCCTCCAGTCACAGTTGTTGCCATGTGCCCCGTGCTTGGTACATCCTTGGGATGCAGGGGATATTTGGGGAAGAGTGAATCCCTTCCTCCTGCTCTCACTCTGGCCTTGCTTCGGGCATGGTTTCTGATGAGCCAGGAGAGATCTCTTAGCAAGGCCAGATGAGAAGTTCCTCCTCCCCAGGGGAGCCTGTGGTTTTCTCTCCCAAAGACTGGAGGCAGGTCCCTCCACACCTGGGGGGTGCTCTCCACCCTCAGTCATAGCCTAGGGCTCAGGCCAGGCAGACTAGTGGCCCTGAGCCAGTTTGATGTCTCCAAGCGTCCGATGGACATCGTCATTCCCCAGGCAACACCACAGGCTCACAACAGCCTCAGCCTGGGCTGGGGTTCAGTGGGATATTTGTTCTAGGGCCCTCTGGGTCCCCTTAAAGCTCTAAAGGGCAGTCACAGGAGCCCCTCGTCAGGAAGATGGATTGGTTCATACTTCTGATTTTGGAGATTGCCCTTGCAAAATGTGCAGCCCAGGGAAAAGCCCGGGAGGGAGTGTGATAGGGCCGCCGCCTTTGCAGTCACACCGTGCCTCTTGTTTTCCAGCGGGCAGGCTGGGGTGCCCTCGGTGCTGAGAGACCTCTATCTGGAAGTGAGATGACCCTGGCCAGGCTGGAAAGAGCTTGTCTGGTTGGATTTCTTGCCCAAACTCTTGGCATCTTGGAGCCACGTCCTGGCCAGCGTGCCTGCCTGGCCCAAGGTGCTGGAGTCTTTGTCACTGGGGGAATCCTTCCAGTGGTTTTCCTGTTCTTTTTCTCCCACAGTGGCGTGGGCCTGGCACGAGCACATTTTGAGAAGCAGCCTCCCTCCAACCTCAGGAAATCCAACTTCTTCCACTTCGTGCTGGCCATGTACGACCGGCAGGGGCAGCCCGTGGAGGTGGAGCGCACAGCCTTCATCGACTTCGTGGAAAAGGACCGAGTGAGAGGCTCGTGGGCTTGGCTGGGACTGGCCCCAGGAAAGAACCCACAACTACACACACACACACACACACACACACACACACACGGGCAGATGAATGGATGGATGCTCGCTGAGTGTCTGGAAGGGAGGGAGAGAAGTTGGGGCTAGGAGAAGGGGGTGGGCAAGGGAGGCTGGAGGATGCCTGCTCACCCGAGCATCTTCCCGTCTTGTCCCTGCAGGAGCCTGGGGCTGAAAAGACTAACAACGGGATCCACTACCGCCTCCGGCTGGTGTATAACAATGGTGAGTGGAGGCCCCTGCTCTGCCCACCCTGCCCTTGAAGAATGGGCATTGCAGCATCACGTGACACCTAATGCCCCACTTGCCACAGCTGGGGAGGGTGTGATGTGGTCTGGCCATTGAGGCTGCACATGCTTCCCCAGCAGCAAGCCCTCTCCGTCTTCCCATCCTAGGACTTCGGACGGAGCAAGACCTCTATGTGCGTCTTATCGACTCCATGTCCAAGCAGGTGAGTCAGTGCAGGGCGTGCTGAGGCCCATCCCACTGTCTTCCCGGTCCCTGCCTCCCCTGGTCTGAGTGAGCCTCCTTGTTCCTGCCCTCATCTCCCTATGCCCTCCGTCCCCATCACCCTAACTCCAGTTCCTGCCCGAGCCTATGCCAGAGCCTGTGTGGCTTTTGTCTTCTGTTCTAGAAAAAGACAATATTTATACAAAAACCCTGGCTTGGGTCATGTTCCCTAGCAGCCCAGCTTGAGATGGGAACTCAGGTGCAGGTAGTTTATTTGGGGAGATGGGAGGGGCTCCCAGGAGCAGGGAAGGGAGGCAAGCTGGAAGAAAATTGCACAGGGATCTCTGGAGAAGGAATGGCACCAGACATGTCCCCCCTCGAAGCAAGTACCAGGATTTCTGGTCATTGGCTGGGGACCACTCCTAAGGTAGCATGTAACCTCCTAGACATTTTCAGACCAGGCAGTTCCTATCCACTGAGAGCAGTTCTCAGGAGGAATCCTCAGCAGCTGACATCAGCCAAAGCCATGGGAAGGGGCATGTGTCCCATAAAGGGGATTTGGGTGCAGCCCCAGGAATTTCCACTGTAGACCCTCAGCGCCTTGCTGATGTGATGGTCACAGGAAGGAGGCTCAAGGGCCAGCATAAGGAGCTGGAGGAAACTGAAATCTGAGTAGGCCCCAATGGATTCTGCCAACGCAGGGCCCCACATCTCAGGGCTTTTCAGAGAAGCTGTGCATGCTGGCAAGGAGTGGGTTGAGTCTTAAATGGGCCAGATTAGTGGGCTAGGAATGCAAGGTGGAGATTTGGGCTTTTTACACAAGCAGGGTCTTCTGGCAGCTCCACCCAATCCCAGGTCAGAGGGAAGAATGGTTTGTTTCTAGAATGCCCGTGGCCGCTGGGCTGGGGGAGGCAGGCCAGGCAGTGCAGAGTAGAACTGTCTCGGGGATGGGTGTGGAAGGGGCTGGAGGAAGTCCACAGAGAGGGGGATCCCACAAATTGGGAAATCTACCTTCCCCTTATAAACTGGGAAGGTAGATTTGCAGTTAGGAAGCTCACTTCTTGCTTCGAGGCAGAGGGAGGCTGGAATACTGGTGAGGAGGTGATGCAGCAGTCCCTTGAGAAGACCAGGCCTGGACTGGGGATGCTATGGGGGAAGAGGCAGCTATGCAGCTCTCGGGGCTCACGGGGCTTGCAGGATAGCTGAGAAGGACAACACTCATCAACAGAAGCAGAGGTCCACCAGGGCATGGAGGATGCACACAGGAGGATGCCGGGGAAGGGGAGGGGCCTGGTGCAGGGTGGAGACAGGAGTATGTCTATCCCACCAGCCCCCTGACCTTGGTCCTGGTGCCCTCGGGAACCCCTGGCCCCAAGCCAGCTCTGGAAAGAGCTGGAGACAGACAGACAGACAGAATCTGCAGACTTCATGCCATTCTTGCCACCCGGTCGTGGTGGTGGCACGGTTTGGGAGGAGGGGTTATCTTCCACCTGGGCAGCCCAGAGCAAAGTGGAAGGTGTGCTCTTCCCTGGGGCAGGGTTTCCCTGGGCCTGCGCTTGGGAGATGCCTGGCCCATCTGTGCTGCCATCTGCACCTTCAAGGAGCCTCTTTCCCCTCCAGCCTGTGCCCTTCCCCCTTCCCAGGCCATCATCTATGAGGGGCAGGACAAGAACCCCGAAATGTGCCGAGTGCTGCTCACCCACGAGATCATGTGCAGGTGAGAGGCAGTGTCCCTCACACCTTGCCCTCTGCCAAGGCGTTGCCAAGGACTCCCCTAGGCCCCTCCCCCTCACCGACCTTGCTCCTGGCTGCTCTCTGCTTCTGCTCCCTGGGGAAGCCTAGTGGCAGGTGATGAAGGGAGGGATGAGGCCCCTGGGCACAGCGCTGGCTAAGGAGAGGGTCCTTGAGGCCCCATTAGACTGGCCTGTTTATGTGGCTTCTCTGAGTGTTTTTGTAAGAGAAGCCTCCTGCTGCCACTGGGAAGCTTAGCTAATAAAGCTCAGGGGAGGGCTGCCGGATGCAGGAACAGGGTCTGGGAAGGCCTCTGGGATTCGCTCAGAAGCTAATCTGAGGAAATTTTGAACCGCAGGGCAGCTCTCTGGCAGGGCAGGGTGGGAATCAGGGGGTGCACAGCTCTCGGCTCCCTTTTCCCCATTATCCCAGAGCTTGGCATTTCTAGTGAGGTCTCCCCAGGAGCTGCCAGTCATACAGGGTCCTCAGAGGCAGTTCCTGATGCATGGAAAACAGAACAGTGTTCAGAAATCTGCGATTGGTAGCCAGGCACCTGTAATCCCAGCTACTGGGAAGGCAGAGGCAGGAGGATTGCATGAGCCCAGGAGTTCAAGGCTGCACTGAGCTACGATTGCACCACTGCATTCCAGCCTGGGCAACAAATCCAGACCCTGTCTCTGAAAAATAAATAAAATAAAATAAATTTAAAATAAATAAATAAATCTGTGGTTGGAACTGTGGCTACCCTTGGAAAGAGGAGACAAGGAAGAGGCCTGCCTGGTGCCTGGGCTGGTGCCCACGTAGCACTTCTTGGTGTGGATGCTGGTTGCACAGGCAGATTCATTTTGTGGCCATTTATTGGCCGTGCACAGTGGCTCACGCCTGTAATCCCAGCACTTTGGGAAGAGAGGCGGGTGGATCACTTGAGGCCAGGAGTTTGAGACCAACCTGGCAACATGGTGAACCCCTGTCTCTACTAAAAGGACAAAAATTGGCCGGGTCTGGTGGTGCACACCTGTAATCCAGCTACGTGAGGAGGATGAGGCAGGAGAATTGCTTGAACTCAGGAGGCAGAGATTGCAGTCAGCCAAGAAAAAAAAAAAAGATTCACTTCATGGTCATTCATGAACTCACCATTTGAGCTCCAGTCTCTGTGTAGGCCTTGCTTCCATAGAGAGACCCTGTAGGTGACCTGTAGCCTGCCTTTTCCTGGGCCCTCCAGGAGCGAGGTGCCTTTGGGGCAGGGGTCTCTGGCCAGCTTCATCCCTGGGCTAGGCTCGCAGGGTCCCTGCTGAGGAGCCCACTGCCTTTCTCCCCCAAGGCCCTGGGAGTGCGCCCCTCCAGCACAGGGATTCCACACCCAGAGACAGGACATCAGCACCCTCAGCTCAGGCCTCCCCCACTACAACTCACACACTGTCACGGCCCCCTCTTTCCTTGGCTTCCGCCTTCCCTTTTTCCTCATCTTTCCTTCAGCCGGTGCTGTGACCGGAAGAGCTGTGGCAACCGGAATGAGACACCCTCAGACCCCGTCATCATTGACAGGTACTGGCCTGGGAGGGGGCCTAGGAGCTGAGAGAGGAGTTGGGGAGGAGCGGCTGTTTTCAACCACAGAGATCCAGGGCTCAAGGGAGGAGCAGAGCAGCCCCCAGAGCACCAGGCTGGTGGCTCTGAGCAGAGAGAGAAAGTGCCAGGCACCAGGGAGCCTCCAGCCTTGGCCCCTGAACGAGGCCCCTGGTGGCCAACTTTCTGGAGCTGCTTTCCCTGACTCCCTGAGAGAAGGACCCAGGGAGGGCAGGGAGGTTGTGAGGGGAGCGGGAAGGGAGGGGGGAAACCAGCACTCGGGGACGGGATCCCAGGTGGAATGGTCATGTCAGCAAAAACCGGATTCAGGTTCCCAGTTCACCCCTGTGCTGTCTGACGTGACTTCTCTGAGCGTCCGTTTCCTTCACTGGAAAAGTGGGGAAAGAGTAGGCAAGTTTCCGTCATAGAATTGTCAGGGTGATGCGTGTGAAAGTGAAATTGTACACTATGATTTTTATTTCTTTATTTTCTTTTTTGTCTGTTTTGTTTTTTGTTTTGTCGAGATGGAGATCTCGCTCTGTCACCCAGGCTAAAGTGCAATGGTGTGGTCATGGCTCACTGCAGCCTCAATCTCCAAGGTTCAGTGACCCCCACGACAGCCTCCCAGGTAACTGGGACTACAAGCACATGCTTCCACGCCTGGCTAATTTTTTTTTTTTTTTTTTTTTTTTTTGTAGAAAATGGGTTTTGCCATGTTGCCCAGCCTGGTCTTGAACTCCTGGGCTCAAGCAATCCACCCGCCTCGACCTCTCAAAGTTCTGGGATTGCAAACATGAGCCACTGTGCCTGGCCTATTTCTTTTTGAAGAGGAAATGCATAAATAAGGTGCAAAATTCAAATAGTTCAAAACAGTATATAATGCAAAGTAAGTCTCCCTCCACCCCTATGTATAGCATACTGTACATGGTTTTTTTGGTAACAATATATTTTAGATATTATTACATATAGGAACATAAACCATGTCTTATTCTCCTTTTAATAGAAAAAGCATTCATAGCTGTAACAATTGAATAAGCTTAAAAGGGTTTACAGCAAACTGTCTCCCACCTCTGTCTCCCATCCATCCATTCCCCACCAAATAGCCTACCACTGTTACCAGTTTCTGTTGTATCCTTCCTGAGATAGTCTTTGCATATACAATAAAAGTTATATGTTCTTTTTGCACCCTTTCCTTTTATTTTTATAAAAATGGTGACAGTGGCCGGGTGCAGTGGTTCATGCTTGTAATCCCAACACTTTGGGAGGCTGAGGCAGGTGGATTGCTTGAGCTCGTGAGTTCGAGACCAGCCTGGGCAACAGGGTAAAATCCCATCTCACCAGGAAATATACACACACACAAACTAGCCAGGCATGGTGGTGTGCATCTGTGGTCCCAGCTACTCAGGAGGCTGAGGTGGGAGGATCACCTGAGCCCAGGAGGTCTAGACTGCAGCGAGCTGTGATTGTGCCACTGCACTCCAGTCTGGGCAACAGAGTGAGACTCTGTCTCAAATAGTAATAAATTAAAATTAAAATGGTGTCAGGAAGCACAATTTTCAGCACCTTTCTCTTTCTTTGAAAAATTTAGATCTGGGAGTTTACATCAGGACACAAGTCTCCTTAAATCTTTTTTGCCACTGCAAAATATTTCATTGTATAGGTATGCCATAATTTACTTAAATAGTCTGCTATTGCTGGACAGTTCGGTTGTTTTCATCCCTTTTCAGGGATAAAAATGCTGCGGTGAATTACTTTGTCCATGTGTCATTTCACACGTGTAAATTTATATGAAGGCTATTACTAAATAGAATTGCTGGGACAAAGAATATGTGCATCTGTAGCTTTGATAGTTACTGCCAATTCGACCTCTGTAGGGGTTATACCAACCGCATTGATACCAACAATTTTGAGAATGCCTATTCCTTACACTCTGGCCAATTAAGTATTTTTGTTTATTTGTTCAATCAACAATTCTTGAGCATCTACTCTGTGCCAGGATCTTTTCTATACGCTGTGGATAAAGCAATGACCAAAATAGACGAAAGGCCTTGTGTTCACAGGCTTACAATCTGGTAAGGGAAATAAATATTAACAAATTCAGTGAATAAAATGCATAGCATGTTAGATGGTGATAACAGCTAAGAAAAATAAAGCCATCAAGGAAGATCCAGGAGTGCCTAGGAAGCAGGTTTCACAGTTTTAGGGTATTTAAGGTCTCACTGAAAAGATGTCATTTGAGCCAAGACCTCAAGGAAATAAGGGAGTAAGCGATGTATTTTTTTTTTTTTTTTTTTTTTTTTTTTTTTTTTTTGAGACGGAGTTTTGCTCTTGTTACCCAGGCTGGAGTGCAATGGCGTGATCTCGGCTCACTGCAACCTCTGCCTCCTGGGTTCAGGCAATTCTCCTGCCTCAGCCTCCTGAGTAGCTGGGATTACAGGCACACGCCACCATGCCCAGCTAATTTTTTGTATTTTTAGTAGAGACGGGGTTTCACCATGTCGACCAGGATGGTCTCAATCTCTCGACCTAGTGATCCACCTGCCTCGGCCTCCCAAAGTGCTGGGATTACAGGCGTGAGCCACCACGCCCGGCCTAGCGATGTATTTATGTGTCCAGGGGAAAAATATCCTTGGCAAGAGTGAGCCTGCTGTGTTTACAGGACAACAGGGGGCCCAGGCGGCTGCAGCAAGGAGGGTAGTAGGAGGAAATGATGTCAGAGGTAATGAGTGGGGCAGAGGAAGGCATGACCGTGTAGAGTTTTATAGGATGCATGTAGGCCACGCTTGTGGGTCATTGTAAGAGCTTTGGCATGACATGGAAGCCATTGAGGGGGATGTTGAGAATGATAAGACCTGGCTTATAGTTTAGCAAGATCACTCTAGCTGCCATGTTGACAATGCCCTGTACCGGGCAGGGAGATGAGTAAGGAAGCCAGTACAATAGCCCAGGTGAAGGATGATGGAAGCTGAGACTAGGGACGCTATAGAGGAGGTTGTAAGCATCTGGATTCTGTATATCTTTCATTTCATAGGCAGGACTGACAGGATTTATTATGGAAGGGGAGAGAGAGAGAGAGAGAGAGAGAGAGAAAGAGAGAGAGAGAAAGAGAGAGAGTCAAAGATTCAAAGATGTCTCCAAGGTTTCTGACCTGATCAACTTAGAAGGATGGAATTTCCTGAGAAGGGTATGATTTGGAGAAGAGCAGGTTTTAGAGGAGGAAGATCTGGAGTTTGGTTTGAGCATATTATGTTTGTGATACTCATTAAACACCCAAGTGCAGAGCTGAAAAAGCCACTGAAAACGTGAGGATGGATCTCAAGAGAAAGGCTGAGGCTGCAGATGTAAAATTGAATGAATGAAATCATAGAGGGGATGATTGTTGATAGCAAACAGAAAAGGCCTAAGAACTGAAACCTGGGGTGTCCAGTATTTAGAGGTCATGGAGACGTGGAACCAGCAAAGGGAATGAGAAGTGACCAGAGCGGTAAGAGGGAAGTCAGGGGAGTGTCGTGTCCTGGAGTCAAGATAAGAAAATGTTCCAAGAAGGAGGCATCTGTGTCCAATCCTGCTCGTGGATATGATAACAAAGACTAAGAATTGACCATTAGATTTAGCAACAAGGAGAATATTGGTGATCACCACAGGAGCCATTTCAGTGGCGTGGAGAGGCAGAAGCCTGATAGGATTGCGTCTAAGAGAGAACAAGAGGAGACAATGAGTAGAGGAACTCTTTGGAGTTTTGCTCTATAAGAGATAAAAGGAATCAGATGATGGCTGGGGCACAATGTGAGGCCAAGAAAAAATATGGCTTGCTCATATGCTGATGAGAAACAGCCAGGAGGGAGGGGAAAATGAGGAGGCAAGAGAGAGAGGGAAGAATTGCTGAAGCAATATCCCTTAAGTGGCAAAAAGGGTGGGGCCCTGTGCACAGATAGGCTGATTTTAGCCGGGAGCATAGACAGTTCATCCATGGAAAAGCAGGGAAGACAGAGAACATGGACACAGAAGTGGGTAAATGGGTATATCCGAGTGGGAGCTTGGAGGTTCTCTGCTGATTGCTTTGTTCCTCCGTGAACTAAGAACTGAGGCCAGAAGTTGAAGATGAGGATAGAGAGGGAGACACTAGAGGGCGTGATATAGTTATCGAGGAGAGTGAGTGCACCGGGGGAGGAATGTCATGGGATTGACAAGCAGCACTGAGGATACCCCTGACGTTGATCATAAACATGGTGCTAACTTTCTCCAGCCATGTTGAGCTGCACAGGTGCAGAACAGGTGAGTGGTTGCGTAAAACCAGAGTTAGGGATTTGGCAGTTGAGTAGAAGGAAACATGAGAGGGCAAGAAAGTGAAACGTATGTGCACACAGGGATATTTATTTTTTTTTAAAAATAGAATGATTTAAGCTGGGTAAAGAGAGGAGTATGTGAGAGTGTGGACATCGATTCTGATGGGGCCCAAGAATTATTGGAGTTGAGGTATGAGACAGAGGTTGAGCTGGTTGTTAGGTGGATGAAGAATGGGTTGCCTGCAGATGGGATTCAGGGTTGAATTGGTAATGCGTGGCCAGGGAAAGTGGAGGAGAAAAGATGCTCGAGGAATGGAGAAGAGAGTGCGTTGGAAGAATTACCTGTTTATACTGACCTTGAAATAACCAAGAATTGTGACAGGGACAGATGTTCAAGGGTGTATATAATGGTCCAGGAGTAAAGCCTCATGGAGTGAAGTAAGTGATCTTGGGGAAGATAAATGGCAGTGACAAGCAGCAGTTATCGTAAGTGTTTTCTAGGTCTCCGTCGTGTAAGTGAACAGTGGTATCCCAGTGACTGCTGTTTCTCCTCCTCTGAGTGAGGTTGAGCCCTCCAGGGCTATTTAAAGGCTCTTTGTGTTTCCTTTACTGTGAACTGTCTGTTCATATCCTGTGTTTATTTTTCCTTCCTTCCTTCCTTCCTTTTCTTCTTTCTTTTCTTTTCTTTCCTTTCCA